AAGTGTGGGGAGGAAATCAATACTCCAACCTCATTCTTCTCCCTCTCTTCCATCTCCTCCCATGGGAGACCATTGCTAAACCAAATGAAAACTGGAGGACAAAGGAGCTCAGTCATGCAGTACTTGGGGTTTAGTCTAAGGGATCCCTGAGAGGGCAGAGAAGAGTGGACAATCATTAGGGGAGATAGGAAGGGCCAAGTGGAGAAATGCTATTGCTCACAAACACACACGTAAACTCACACCCCTTCCTGTTCCCATAGTTCATACATTCTATTCATAAATTACCCATGTTGGTAAATTCAATGAAATGACTGCATTATTTAAGAAAGATAGAGGAAAGAAAGTTCCAGTTGTAGTATAGTTTCAATAGCATGCTTTCATCAAATTCCACATCCAGGATCTTTGTTCATAATGCAAGGAAGTGACATATATCCCTTCTTGCATGCAGAGATCTATGTTGCAAAAACATTTTCTTTGCTTAGAAATTTTTAAATATGATTTTATGTGAGTGGTTTAGTATCCCAATGTCCAGGAAAATGTCAAATTTTATCAATTATCCTTCATATTATTGTTGTTGTAGTAATAACTATAGTTTATTGAATATCCTCTTTCCTAGACAGGAAATTTGTAAATTTGCATGTGCTGTCTAACACAGCACTTAAAATAGCCTTATGAAGGAGAGAATAGGAGTTTTCAGGAAAATAATTTTTAGGAAAGAATTGACATTCAGGGATTAAGTAATTCCTCCAAGGTCATTGTGCCAGTAATATTGGAGCAGAGTTTCAAGCTCTAACCTTTCCCTTCCCAAAGTCTGTTTCTTACCATACTGTATGGCCTCTCCTTGGATCTCAATTTATCTTTTTGGTTTTTGTGTTAAGATGCCTAGCGCTCAAGCAATATCCAGAGCACTCTGAGGGGACATGTTTTAATATTGATGCTTTCATTCAGAATAATCTTACTGGTACATTTTTACATATATTTGCAGATCTGCACAGGAAGTCATTCTAAAACCCTCATTAGCAATTAGCATAACAATATTTAACTTATTTTTACTATAGCAGTCATTCATACAAGTTATAGTTATTTTTGGCAACTCACATTATTAATGCTACTCATTTTATCTTATTGCAACTCCTAATAGTAGTTATAATAATAATATCCACTTATTTAATGGCAGATGACAAATAGTGTACACCATGGAAAAAAGGGAAGAATATGATGGTAGGCAGGACAGGCAGAGGCTACTACAGAGGCCTGGGTAGAGGGAAACTGGCTATGGCAATGGAAGAGAACAGGTGGACATGAGCACAGCTGGCAGGTCCCAGTGCAAAATGAAAATATGGGGCTGCTTGTCCAAAAAGCGGGAAAACAAAAGCATCATCAAGGTACTAAAACATAAGACTTTTTTCCCTTCATCCACAGTTTCTCTCTGTGTCTGTCAGGATGTTTTTTATTTGCTATGTGCCAACACTTTCTATGCATTTTATCTTTTTAATAACTCCACAAGTTAGGTAAATTATCATTCTTTCAAATTTATAGATGGTGAAACTCGGGCCTTTGCCTTTTAAAAAATAAAATGGACTGAAGCTTTGGTCTGCTCTGCTGAAGAAGTCAATGCGAACTGCAACCACTGCTTCTAATAGCCATGTGGTAACTCCTGCCTCTTTTCAGTAAAATTCTCTTTTAAATATATTTCTTCTATATGATACCACTTATTAGTGCTATCTTTAAGAGAATCACATATTATTTTATAAAAGTAAAGGATAGATAGATTTAAAGAAATATTGATAGATAAGGCAGGAGTTACATATGCATTTTTGGCATAAATTTGGTATGCTTTGCTTTTCTTACAATGCACTTAGTACGTAACAAAGAAGAAAGAATTCCACAGTGGGTCTCAGGAGCACAATGAATGACAAGAAATCCACGCTTCACTGTTGAAAATCCCCCAGCTTATCTAACTACACACTCCAAGGAAGCTGATTTGCATGGGGAGTTGTTTTTGAAGTGGAAATATTCAAGGCAGTATGCCAAGTACAAAATCTATCCTAAAATTTAATCACTGGAGTCTAGACAATCAGACTAAACATACTGGCAATTAATTACTTGAATTAATTAATTAATAATAAATTTATAGGGTACTGTTAGGTTTTCTATATCCTGATTACAAATCTTGAGCCCAATTCCCCAATCCATTGGTACAGAGCCAATTTGTTCTTTTATGGCATATGGATTAGGTTGCAAGAGAGTTGGGATAAGAGCATCTCCCTCTCATGCAGTCATTTGTAAACCTACTTCAATGAAACTAGTAACATGACTGAATAGGGAAACTTTCATAGCCACAACTGTAATGTTTTTGCCCAGATGTTTTTCCAGTCACACAACTCTAACACTGATTACAGCCTAAGCCATTTTAAAAGCTAGATAAATCCAGAGGGGCATAAACAAAACTCTGGAAAGCCTGTCATCACCTTGAGTTTATGTTTGTATTTTTTTGATGATGATGATGATAAGAGTGATCATTTACCAAATATCTATTAGGTACTAGAGATGGTGTGTTTCATTGCCACATTTAATTTACATAACAATCTTAAAAATAATACATTATTATTTTTCAGTGAAGATAGGGAAGCGAGGCTTAAAAAGATTAAATTTTTCCAAAGTGATGAAATGAAAGTGAAGGAAGTCATCAAAGTAGATCTTTGCAACCTAAGAGAAATATTGGCAGATTGGGAACCTCACTCTCTGGCCTCTGGAATTTTGTACTGGCTGTTCCCTCTGCTTTAAATACTTTCCAGTGATTTTCCCGCAATTGAGTCTTTCTCATTATTTAGAAAGGTATTTCCCAAGAGAGGTTTTCTTTGATCTATAGCGGCCTCTCCTATTACATCGAATCACCTTGCTCATTGTCTACAGTATATTTATCAGAGTCTGTGGTTATCTTGTTAAATGTCTCTCTCTTTTTTGAAGGAAAACTCCATGAAGAGTGGGAGCTTTCCTTTCTTTTTTCTCTATTGTATTCCCATAACTGGGCATACTTTCAATATATAATATATGCTCAGTAAATATTAACTAAGTGAATGACCGAACCCTGAGATTACAGAAAAATATCTAAGAGTACATGGCCCTTAAGTCCAAGACAATGAAAGCTCCCACTGAAGACATCAAACTCGTGAGTTACTCGCACACAAAGTCCAACACACAAAGTGAAGACTACGGATGAACAAAAGGCTGGGTTTTCTTGGGCTATCTAACTGACTAGCTCGATATTTGTGTAAGTTAGTCCCCTCGAGTCTAGACAATCAGACCAAAAATACTGACAATTAATTAGTTTGATTAAGTTTATAAGATGCTGTTAAGTTTTCTGTATACATAGTTACAAATCTCAAGCCCATTATAGGACCATCTGGCCATGCAAACATGAAGTGAGCAGCCGCAAGGAAGATTTTTTCATTGCGTGGGCGTGTGTTCCCACAAATGTAGCTGCCATGTCAGGATGTAGAGCAGGTGGCCAGGGAGTGGGTAGCAAGCAGAAACTCTCCTGCTCTCTCAGGGCTCACTTCTGCCCATATTTGGTCTCAACAATTACAAGCCTCATGAAACCTGTTTAAGCCATCATTCATGTGGTTCAATTCAGAAGCAGTATTACAAAAGAAATATAAACAGGCAAATTATATTAATATTAATAAGGCAGAGTCCCAATCTATACTCATGTTTCTCAAAAGACATTAGAAGGAATATAGGTCTTATCCCTCACTAATACTTCTTGTTCTCCATTTTTCACCCTCCCCACATACTCGCCAGAGACTCTCATTTGTAGTCCTTCTCCCTCCCAAATATTTTCCCTACTCTGTCTTCTAGCTAGATCTCCTAAGCACTGTTTGCAAAAACCATATCCCTAACCTGTTAGTGACAATTACAGTAACAGGCAATTGAGAGAGAGATACTTTTATCTCAATCCTCTTGCTACCTAATCCATACGCCATAAAAGAATAAACTGGTTCTGTACCAGTTGATTGGAAAATTGAGCTCAAGATTTGTAACCATGGATATAGAAAATTTAACAGTACCCTATAAATTTATCATTAATTTATTAATTAAAGTAATCCATTACAATCACTGTCATTGGTACATCAATAAATTTTACCATATCACACCTACAAATATACAATTTTCCCTACAAGAACAAAAAGGGAAGGATACTGTTTTTTTATTTCCCTTCCTATTTATAGATAATTGTTATTTATAAGGGCACTCCATCACCTTTCTTTGGGACTCTCTTCCTAAATCCATTAGGAAATGATATCTTCTCTGGGAAATAAAACATGTTTAACTTTTATATGTTCATAGCATTGAAGTGTGTAACTTTATAAATATTTGCAGGGGAAGGTAATGATCAATGGAAGGAAAACAGTATTATTTCTGCAAAAGGAACCTGTATTTTTCCTCAAGTATCAGTGGTTTTTATTTATTACCATACAGGTTTTTGAGGTATGTATCATATTTAGATAACTATCATTGGTACAAACAAAGAAAAATCATACACCTGTAAGTAATTTCAAAGCTCTGATCCTAAAGTTATAGCCTCTCCCCAAAGCAAACGAAATAGTTTAAAAAATGATTTGCATTCCTCACACTTTCCTTTCAAAAATAAAGCTCTGTCAAGCCAAAATATATCCCCTAGGTGAGTTTTTGTTAGAATATAGGCATACCATTTTTTTTAAAGAATTTGTTCTATGGCCCCAAAACCATGTTCACTTCTATAGGATATTCTGTTGAATAATTCCTCAAACTACTCTTCTTGAAAAAATCAGGACTATATTATGTACATATGAGTTACATACTGAAATCATCAAATGAATAAATGATTAAAACACACAGCAGGATTTTTTTTAATTAATGAAACAAAAAAATAATTGGTGAAAGAAAGCAGATGAACGAAATGCTGTGGAAATTGTTATTATTGGATTTTCTTTAGAAACAATACCATTTCAACCCACCTTTCTCAATGTTCTTTGTATTACATGAGCTAGAAGCCTGGAAGCAACATTCCTCAACATTCCTGTCAGCAGGATTCCAGGTTGGAATGTGACAGCCAGAGGAGCTTGCCTGAGGTTTAAGAGGGAGAAAGAAGCGGAAACCGTATTATTGTTTCCCGGCTAGAAGAGATAAAGCCACAGACTCGTGGGTTTCAGCAGCAGATGGGGTATTTTGCATCAGCTTCTCAGTGGTTTCCTGGGAATCACCTAGCTCAGTTCTGGAGGCAACTATGAAAATAACCAGTGGTTTCTTATGAGTCCAGAAACTTTCTGAAAATTAGAATACCAGAGAGTGAGTGGTGATATTCTCTTCCATTTCCCTCCACCTCTGCCAATGGTTTCAAAAGCATCTAATTACCTGTATTTAAGCCTTTTCTGTTTGTGTGTGTGTGTGTTCCTGTCCAGACTTTGGACAATTTGTGCTATAATTTTCTAGGATGGCATATGGTTTGTTATCAGATTTTACCAGCTGGAAGATAAATTAATGGAAATGTGTCTTTTGCTTTACGACTTGGTTAGGCCACAGGATAGTACTGAGCTCCTTTTAGCAGTGTTATGTCTTCTGCCTGCCGCCTCAATTGAAGGTGCTACTAAAAAATGTATTGAAATTTACTACGGACATATTTAGTGTTTTGCCAGATTAAAAGAAAAAAGGAGAAAATGCCAATGCTTCTCTTTGCCCTCCAGATGCACAAAACCTAGTAGAAGTAACAGTACTATGCAGAAAAAAATATTGATATTTACCAAAAAAAAAAAAACAAAAAAAAACCCCAGAACATCCCATGTCAGTGAAAGGCAAAGAGGATGAGCCACCTTCCCTCCTTTTCACCCATCCATCCTTCTCATCCCATCCCATCTTATTCACAAATCAACTAGGTTGCAAGCACTAAGAGAAGCTTAGACTGGGAGATTCTGCAACCAGAGACACGTCTTCTCATTGATAATCATGCTTGAGGGAAAATCTAGATGCGAGAGCTGAAAACTCTTATAACTAAAATCTAAGAAAGTCCAAAGACAGTGAAGTATCAGAGATGACATTAAGCTGGGACTCTAGAAACCTGGCTTTTAATCTCATTTCTGCTACTATATCATGTTACCACTTCACCTCTCTGAGTCTTCAACTCATTATCAGTAAAATTATGGCTTGAATTTGGTTGTTCCTAGAGTTCACTCCAGCTCTGACATTCAGGCATCACAACAACAATCCACCCAGGGAGTCTGGGGTGGGGAGATGTTTCTTCTGCCCTTCCTTTCAATATTCTCCAGGCAATCCCAGAATTCTCCCAGGACCTGGCAATGCTCAATTCTCCTTTTTGCAGAGATTTTTAAAGCTCAAATAAACATGTCAATTTTCAGAATTCACATATGCAATATTTGAAGTGTCATGTGCAATCAAAAGGAATAAGAGAATAAATTATTTCTGTGCATCCAAGGCAAAACCATCCTGATGTATTTTATTTGACTCAGAAGAGAAATTCCCACGCTGCTACTCCTTCTCCTTTAAATGAACTGAAATCAACAAAGGCATCTTCCACAGCTCTCTCAGAGCTCCACCCTGGGGATAAGAATTAACTCTATCTCCTTATAAGAAATACAAGCACACCCTTATCTTTAAATATACAGACATCTAAATTTGGACACTCTTCCTCATGAATATTTAAGTAATCAGTAAGTAGTAGTAATCATTCCCATTTTATAATTAAAGTGGATGTGTCTTATTTTTAATTTAGGGCAAGGTGTTGTTTTTTTTCCAATCTCTGTTAAGCAATCATAGCAATTCTTGATGAATGTGTGATTTGTCTGGTAAGAAACAGCTACCAAAATAAAAAGTCACTCTCCTTTGAAAAAAAAAATTAGTGTTTTAAATCAGGCAAAATTTTTGACTGGTTTAATTAAGATAATGTCTAATTTTTTTTAATTTTCATACTATGGATATACAAGCCAAAATATGTAATATTAGCATATACACCTGGATGAATTCGATTCAGTATAAAATGGAAATATGAAATTGCCTTGCATTCATGAAGGAATCCTATTCCTGAATCCAAGTTCATCTTTACTTTAACCTCACTTTTCACTGGCTCCAATGCCTGTTCTTGGACATTATCCCTGCAAAGCTAAACATTTAAATGAATAGGCACTTTTATATGCATCCATTCTTGTCTGCAATAGGAGGCCAGAAAGATTTACATTAATTTATCTTTACCTTAAAAAGTAGTTGGGCAGATAAATTAGTAATAAATTTTTCTGTGCGTGGAATAGTTCTAAGCCAACTCTGAAGGCAATTATACTGGGGATAAGCGCACTTTATCCTTGGAAGCGGGTGATTGGTAGAAGAAGCATGAATCCCACCTATTCCTTGATTCTGTTTCTGTTGGCTTGACTTCCCTATGAAGGGAACACTTCCTCCAGCATAGTCCTAGAGTTGGAAAAGCACCCTCAAATATCAAGTTCCATCATTTACTTTGTCTGCTATTCAACACATATCACACCTTATTGTACCTGTTGAATACCTGATTATTCCACAAGGTAGTGAGCTCCTTGAGGATAGAAACTGTGCCTAATAGGCATTCCTCTCCTCAATACTAGTATAGTACTTTTCACATGGTAGTGATCTAGAATGAATTAATCTTCATCAGCACAAACATTGTCTAAAATTCAGCTCAAAATAAACCAGTTCCTATGCCATTGTCTTTTCTATGCTTCCCTGAATTTCTCATACAGACTATTTAAAATAAAGCATTTATCAAGTCTTCCAGGCATAGAACCTGAATTATTTTTGGATGGCATGGAAATTTCACGTTGGAGAGTTAAAGGATATGTGATTAAAAAGGTATATTGGGGATAATGCAAGTTAAAAACAATAATAAAACAAGATTCCTTCCTCCCCTTTTATGGTTATACCAAGTAGTTTACATAAAATATGTTGTGGGTTTATTTTTCTTCAATTATCTTACCAATTCTTTTGGTATCATAAATATACTTGAATGAGAAGTGACATCATAAAAATGTCATAGTTTCAGAGTTCAAACTATCTCAACCACTTATGTCCATCCATTAAATATATCTGTTCTGACCATCTGCTAGGAGTTTGGTCTTGAAATAATTATATTATATTATGTATTTTGATCAAGCAAATAATGATCATTAGGATATGATATATGATTTCTGTTCTCAAAAAAGCCTGAAATCTAGAGTTGTTGGAAGAGGCATAAAAAATGTAAATGTAATACACAAATGCTATGATAAGGGAAAGTATAAGAAATTATGGAAATGTACACTAATTGAACTTAAATATGTGAAGATCCAATGATGCAATGTATGGGTATGCTTTGTATACTAAAAGCCCTGTACAAAGACAAGTCATTATAGTTCTACCCTTAGTTTAATAACATAAAACATGGTAGAAAGTGAGGATGGCCAGAAGAATTGGCATACAGTGCAGATACCTTCCTATGAAAAAGAATTTATCTGTATCCAAATAATTCCGAAGAGAATTTGAAAGGCTCTTCCACATTTCTGTGCTGAAAATCCTCCAGTGCTTACCTGCCAAAGAATTCTCCCTCAGTTTATTTCAGAAGCTAAGAGTACTGAGTAAGTTATAAATATTAATAGCAAATATTAATTATTGAATAACTGATCTGATTTATCTATTTCAACAACCTAAGTGAAATATTTTACGGCAATAATTGCCACTAATGGTTACATTCATTTTTCTAAAAAAAAAAATTTTTAAATCTTGTGGGGGGAAAAGAAATTATAAAACATACCAAATAAAATATTCTTCCTGAGAAAATCTATGTGCAGCAATCAGGATTCAGGTCAGAAAAAGAGAAGCCAGTCTAGGTAGTTCATGCAGAAATAAATTTAGTGAAGTGAGTTAGAGGCTTACAAAACCGGTTACTGGGTCGGGGCAGCAGAAGTCAGGGAAAGCAATCACTGATTTTCAGGAAATGAGGATGTGCAGGCTCACAACCACCATCACCAGTGAGCTCAACTGCCTGCAGTCTTGAAGGGGGTGATGCATGAAAGGATACTGGGAAGCTCTCGACAGGATCTCACATATGCACATCTGCTGAGGCCCATGAACCCGCCTGCAGGAGCAATAATGGCTTCTGCTGCTCCTCTGCCTTCCAGACCTTGCACAAGAGCCTCTAAGGGGTGGGAGCTAATCCAGAACCCCGCTGGCACGGATTCACCAAAATGTTATTACCAAGAATTCAAGAGAAAACATAGGAGAGGGAAAATGGTGCTGAATTTCCATCAGACCATCTGGCACACATCTCTTTAAATTCAACACTGTCCCCTTATTAAGAATAATTTTATTTCATATTTTTAAAGATTTACAAAATTGGCCCTTGCTCTGCTTTTCATCCTATGCCACCTTACGGAGCTTATCCACATGACTTGCTCCCTATTTTTCCTTCATTCTGGACTTACTGTAGAAAAGAATAGTCAATTTAAAAGCACATTTCCAATGAATGCACCCAAATGAAAGCAATGTTTAATCTGCTTTAACAACCTGACCTAGACAAATTAATAAATGCTCAGTAAATTTTCTCTCTCCCATAATTTTACCCAGAAAGGCCTAATAAAACTTTCAATAATATTAAAGTTCAGTCAAGTAAATAATTTGTTACCACATTTACAGCAGTCATCAAATTTTAAAATTTAAAAGCATACTATACTATATGTATATATTATATTATGTATATATTATAATACATATTATAGTATGCATTCATTTTAATATGCTACAGTAATGATAAAAAATAAAAATACAATCTGAGAAAATACATGGACAAGTGTTGGCTTCTAGGGCCATGTTATCTAGATTCAGACACAGTCCTAACTTGACTGGTGTGAATGTGTCAAGTTACTTGGTCTTTCCATACCTAAGTTTTCTCATGTGAGAACATTGAGGGGATAAAATCAGCAATAGAGGTTTTTTGTGTGTTTGATTTTGTTTTTTGTTTTTTGAGACAGAGTCTCACTCTGTTGCCCACTCACTCTGTCAGCCTAGCTCACAGCAACCTCAAACTCCTGGGTTCAAGCGATCCTTCTGCCTCA